GACATCGAGAAGATTGAGAGCAGAGGTGGTCTCGACGACAGTCTTTCCACTTTGATTACAATCACTCAAAACAACGAAATTCCTATTGTTTTTGCTTTAAATCGATTCAAATTAGGATTAGTTTGCAAGAAAAAGGGTATCATTAGTTGTGTGGGAGTCTTGAATTATGACGGATCTCAAGTATGTCTCACACAATAACTATTCAATCAATTCGTCTTATATTTCATTTTTATTCAATTTGTATTTTTTAGGAAAATTATAAACAATTATTGAGTTTATGTGAAATCGAGAGAAATGAATACAAAATGATATTTGAAGAATCATTAAATAAATTGAAAGCACTTTCTTGTGAACAAATCGATGAAATAATAAACGATTTTCCAAATATTCCACAAGAATTCTGTCAAATAAGAGATGTCTTGAATTCATGCGATCGAAAACTCGTCAAATGCAAGAGAAGTTCCCAATAAATTCACGTCTATTAATGCAATATTACTGCGATATTATTATTTTATTTTTATGCCTTTCATATAATTATTTAAAATAATTTTATACATAATATTCCAAAGTTTATAAATTTGGTAAAACCAAGATTTAATACTATATACGGTTCTAACAATTCTAAATATAAAACATGGTTATATTAGACTACATTTGTTTAGAGTGTAATTGTTTATCAATATATAGGATTAGTTTAATTGTATTATAATTGATATATTTGTACTATTAATAAAAATATAGTTTATATTGAGTCAATTGATGTAAATTGGGCTAAATTTAATGTATTTTTTAATCATCAATAAAGAACTCAAACTTATGTTTGAATAATGAAAGAATACACACTTTTGTACGACATTTGAGTTGATATCAATCAAATCAAACTTTATTGGAGTCTCTCTATCAACAAAAGTTGATTTTCATATAAATCCATATCAAATAGTATTAAATTCTATTAAAATCACTAAAAATAAATTATAAAATTAGTGTACAATAGTTTGAGTACATATTTGTTGAAGTATTTCAAATTATACTCGAAATTGTACGAACAAAATAACACCAATCGATCATTTATTTCAATAATTACATTATTAATGGGACCAAAATGTGGGTTATTTAGCGGTTCTGTTCTTCGCTTCGTCCACGAGTTGTGGAAAATATGTTTGAAATAATGGATCGTTGAGTGCGAACGACCAGCTCTTGGCGGCGAACTCTGCCTGACGTGTGCGGAGCTGATCGGCCGTCAATTGGTAGAGCTTGTGGTAGTGTCCGGCGAAATGACCGCACTTTTCGTCGGCCATAAAACTATATAAACTCAACAAAATAGTGGACACAGTGTTGAGTGACGACCACTTCTCGGGATGCATAGCACTAATGCCCGAAACGCACACCTTTTTGGTGGAACTGAATTTACCCGAAGGGGTCTTCATATAGATGTCAGGCCCGGACAGAGGGTAGTTCCCACAGAACAACAGTCGGCCCAAATAGATGCCGCCCGAAAACGGGGTGTCTGTCGGCCCTCTAAACACATACACCCATTGAAATATATTGTCTTCGGTCGGATGAGCGACTATATTATCCAACGGTTCCGTTAATAGTTTCATATAGTCTTTCTGGAGACGAGTAATGGCTAATTGGGATGTTGTGGGGCAGGGATGCTGACCGGGATGTGGTTCGTTCATTGCATCAAGCACATTTAAGCACATTCAATACTATGCTTATAGTGAGTCATGTGTTGTGAGTTATCAACTTATATGTCATACAATTGTATTCAAGTTAATCAATATTCATATCTTAAAATTTTTAATGTATTGTAAATATTCATGAAAATTAGTGACAAAAAGTTGATAACAATTTAAAGGTTAAGGTTTTGAGTAATGAAACAAATGTATCAAAAGTGGTGTTCAATAGTAATAGAGTTGAGCACAAGATGTCATCAACTCTGCACTCACTGTCAGTGCAATGAGTTTGCAATGCGTTTCTCAATACTAACACACACTGCGAGAGTGAGTCAGTTGTGAGAGAGTGTATGAGAGGGTATATGTGGGAGGGTTTGGGAGAGCGAGTGCTGTGAGCAATGATTACTGTAATATTGAAAAGCAAAGCAACAAAACGTTTATTTCAATGATTCAGTCGATGAGTGAACGAGTGATGCCTTCAATGCCTTCACATTTGATTCAACCGTTAATTCAATTCAATTAACGCTTTATATATTAAACACTAATTGACTGTTGAGTCTATTGTTTGGTTTCATTCAATCCATTGAGCGTTTGTTTTGACCATTCATTTGACACACAATTGGATGACATTGTTGTAGATCTGGTGACAAATCTCTTCACGTTGGATCAGTTGTTATAAGATGTCAGCGAGTGGTGCGCCGAGTGGTGGGTCGGGCAATACGGGTGCCCATCGGTATCGCTATAAGAACACAGGTCTGGACGCACAGGAACTCCGCCGAAGACGCGAAGAGGAAGGCGTTCAGCTCAGGAAACAGAAGAGGGAGACAGAGCTCTGCAAACGCAGGAATTTGGCACAAAGTGGCGACGAGTGGTCGCCGGGAGGGCCCGCCGACGAGAGCGGCGCCGGAGCCACGCAAGTGATCACCCAAGAGATGGTGGCCGCGCTCTACACCGATGATGTCGAGCAACAGCTCATCGCTACTCAAAAATTTAGGAAACTATTGTCTAAAGGTTTGAATGAATGGTTTATTTATATTTGCGATTAGCAATGGGTTTGACGCGTAAAACATTGTATTAATGTATTTGTGTTTTGCAATGAATGGCTAAACAGAACCGAATCCACCGATCGATGAAGTAATACAGACGGGAATTGTTCCCCGATTTGTGGAGTTTCTTCATAGAGACGACAACTCAGTGCTGCAGTTCGAGGCCTCGTGGGCGCTGACGAACGTGGCCTCCGGCACATCACTACAGACCCGAATGGTGATAGAGGCGGGCGCTGTCCCCGTCTTCATACACCTGTTGGAGTCGCCTCATGAGGACGTTCAGGAACAGGCCGTCTGGGCGTTGGGCAACATTGCCGGCGATTCACCCGAATGTAGAGACTATGTGTTGAGTAACAGCGCGTTAATGCCTTTACTTCAGTACGTATTGATTAGCGATTTAATGGGACAACTGATACGATAATGAACTCTGTTTTTGTTGGTCTAGATTGTTGAGTAAGTCGGCGCGCATATCGATGACGCGCAACGCTGTGTGGGCGCTGTCCAACTTGTGTCGGGGTAAGAATCCGCCCGCAAAGTTCGAGACCGTGAGCCCCTGTCTGCCAGTGTTGGCGCGACTGCTCTTTCACAGTGATAGTGATGTGTTGGGCGACGCGTGTTGGGCCCTCTCCTACCTCAGCGACGGCCCGAACGACAAAATCCAAGCCGTGATCGATGCGGGCGTTTGCCGTCGTTTAGTAGAACTGTTGATGCATTCGAACCAAAGCGTAGTGTCGGCCGCACTCCGAGCCGTCGGCAATATTGTGACCGGAGATGATATGCAGACCCAAGTAATCCTTAACTGCAACGCATTGCCGTGTCTTTTGCACCTCTTGTCCAACAGTAAAGAGTCCATTAGGAAGGAGTCCTGTTGGACGATATCCAACATCACTGCCGGCAATAAGCAACAGATTCAGGCCGTCATTAACGCCAATATATTCCCAATTCTGATAGAAATTCTTTCAAGAGCTGAGTTCAAGACCCGGAAGGAGGCGGCCTGGGCTGTGACCAACGCCACCAGCGGTGGGTCTCCCGAACAAATCAAGTTTCTCGTAGACCAGGGATGTATACCTCCTCTCTGTGAGCTGTTGACAGTAATGGATCCAAAGATCATTCAAGTGGCCCTCAATGGCATCGAAAACATCCTCCGTTTAGGCGACGTCTTATCTAAAGGACCAAACAGTGTTGGAGTCAATGAGTTCGCCGTTAGGATTGAAGAGTGTTATGGTAAGTGTTTGGGAGCTAATTGTTTGCCATGTATTGTCATCTAATGCTGTATTGTATGCCTAATCGCAGGACTCGACAAAATAGAGTTTTTGCAATCGCACGAAAACGTAGAGATCTATCAAAAAGCATTTGAGATAATCGAGCGATACTTCGGTACGGAAGACGAGGAGTCAACGATCGCCCCCTCAGTCGATGAGAACAATGAGTTTGCGTTCGGTTCGACCGCCGACTCGACAACAAATCCTGAGTTTCAGTTTTAAATGAGTTATTGTTTGTTAGCAAAGATTTGTCAAAACCGATAGTCAGTCAAAAACACGTGGAATTCCATCGAAGCTTTACTTCAGTTTTATTTCATTCAATTATAACTTAGTTTTTATAGTTTTAAGCGAAAGATATACTAACTATTAAATGACCCGAAAAATGAGTCCTAATATTTGGGTTTCAATTCTAATTAAATCTTGTTATTGAAGACATCTTTTGCTCTCTCTATTGATATAATTATGCGACAAAAGACAACAACAGAATAATACATACATTTAATGAACGCCAACAACATATTAATATAATAATAATAAACAATTTAACCCAAAATGTGTAATAAATTACTCAATAATCGCTAATATTGTAAACACAATTAAAAAATACAATTGAATACTGAAATACAATGTAAAGTTTTAAGACTTTTTACAAAAAACAACATTTTTAAAAATGTACAGAAATTAAAAGTTTAACTAATAAAGTGTCAAATTATCATTAATTTGAATTTTAAATCACTTTTCAATGTTTTTGTTTTTAGTGCACTTCAATGTGAGTATCTATTAATTACAATTAATAACTGAGATTCAAATGTCTTGGTCTGTCGTCAACTCTAAACACCTCTCCAAGTGTTTCGCTAATAAATATTTATTTTGAACTAAACTTGGTTTAAAATTTATTAAATAATAAAAATAAGAATGCTTTTAAATAAGAAATAAAAGTTAATCTCAATCTAATATAGATTATGTATAGAAATAATTAGTTAAAAGCAATCAATTTGATTGACAAAATGGTTGTATTAGAGAACACCGCATGAGTCAATGCAATTCACTCATTACTTGTATAACGAACTCAATTATGGGCCAAAAAATTAACTTTTATTTGTGGTCTTTTTATGGTAAGCGGGGTTTTTGCCCGAAATGGGCAACGGATGCGCTTCTGTATTGAACACCCATTCCTCGAATGAGATTAAATCGTCGGACGAGAAGATTAGGTACAGGTATTTGAATGTTTCGGCCAATAGAAAGCTCTGTTGGACGTCATCTTTAGGACTGTTTACGTCGTAAACATTTTTGATGCCGGTATAGCCGGTGTCTGTGCGGCAGTACTTGTGTATGGCCTGCGCCGCCTCCCACGCCCACTCCCTGTACTTGTTGTCGTGGGTCACTCTCCACATGTAAAACCAGCCCTCTATCACTTCAGGCCTTTGGATGTAATACTTCTCATTCGGCCTAAAAATAGCGGTCATTAAAACTCAAAACAGAGAAAAGCCATTTTGGGCCAAACCTGACTGCCTTTGCCTCGACATCACGTGTGAATCTGAAGGATTCGGGACCTATTTTGGTGTCAGTCCTGATGTACGCCTCGTGACAAGTTCGGGCCAATTCGCCGCCCAATTCCAAGTAATGGTCCTTTTGTTTTTGGTCTAACGATTGGCCGCTCAGAGCGATCAGACCGCCCGAAAAGCAGGCCAAGTGGTCCATCTTGTGCTCGAGTCTGTCGTATTTCATTTCCGCTAAATATGTCAAACCAGAGCCAGACTTATGCACCAAATTCTTCTCAATCGCGTCGATCGCTTCGTCCCACATATGACGCGCTTCCATGTCTTTGCCGCCCGACTGTATCCACTCCTTCAGTAGGTATTCATAAAAGCTGTCTCCGAGTGCACCCATCGAGATATGGGCTACACATTCATACCAACAATTAGTTAATGCATTGCATTCAATAGTATATTATGTATTGATTACTCAAACATTGCATTAACACAATTAAATCAATAATTGTAATTATAATAGCAATTAATGTGTGCGTCTATCTGTGTATTGGATTTGAGGGCCTTTCAGCCCTGTGGGAGAAATTGTAAAAGGAGCAGAATTATAATATGCCTAACCATACCATACAAACCAATACAAGTACTCCAACTTTGGCTTATATAGCGCTACAGCCGTTAATTAGTTAAAACACACATTTTGCAACTTTTAATTATAATTATGATTCAAAAGCAATCGCAATAAGTATTACATCATTAAATGATAAATATTATGAATGAATAATACATACGTTGACCGAATTGACCGGTTTTAGGGCTAATATAGTTGGGATAGAGTCCTCCGTGGGGTTTACTCAGCCCTTTGAGAATACGTCTAACATTTATTAAATGATAAATATTATGAATGAATAATACATACGTTGACCGAATTGACCGGTTTTAGGGCTAATATAGTTGGGATAGAGTCCTCCGTGGGGTTTACTCAGCCCTTTGAGAATACGTCTAACATTCATCACTTTGTCTTTATAGGTGTCATCACCGGTAATATCACTCAAGTATTGGAATTCCAAGTGAAGAGTTCCCACTTCTGCTAATATAGAGCTGGACTGTGAGGCCCAGACATAGTTCTTGCTGTGACCGCTCGCCGGGTTGATCAACGCGTGCGGTATTCCCGTCGGTGTGTCAAACGCGGGCAGCATTTTAGAGGCAATAGCATTGGCCCGAGAGATAAACATCTCGTCTTTGGTGAACGCATAGCACGTGAGAAGACCGCCGACGAAACGGATTATCGTCTCAAAGACCGACACTTCGCTGTTTATGCTATCAAAGTGCAAGTTCTGGTCGACCCAATCCCTGCCCTCTTTGAACTCATCCTTCATTCCCATAATGAATAGTGTGTCCAATCCGTCCACAATTGTGGCCCCTATTCATCAATAGAGCCATTAGTGGTCACAACCAGACACTCAATACAACAAATGTATACCTAATTTAGTTGTGCCAAAAATGCCGGCCGAGTGTCCCTTCTTGGAGATGGGCCTCAACTCGTTCTCACCCCAGGCGTACGTCTTGTAGTGAATCCACGCCTCTCTC